CACCTCTGCCCCTGCTCAGCTTCACATGGACAAGTTGTACCATTTGGTGGCTCAACAGCTTGCACAGCAACTGCTTTATAACGCCCACCAGCATTCATAAAATGCCAGAGTTCCCAGAACTCTGACACCTGTTACAGAATTTTCTTACACAGCTTCAGGGAAGAGACATTAAAAAGATCTCATTTTACTCCTGTTCTGACAATTAGGCAAGATAAAGAAGGCCACGGGTAAGTTTTTATCCTAAGGTTAGCAGATGCTTTTTATTCTTCAAGCTAAACAACCACCAGTAACCTATCTAACGTTTATCAAGATAAACCAGAGACATCTCAAACATTTAGTCTCAGAAATCCAGCACTTGTGACTTATTTAACCATCCACAGGGTCCTTTATTGATGCTACTTACCTTGCAGTGGCTAGAGACTAGAAAACAGCATCAGCAGACCTCAGAGAAAGGCACAAACCACATAAACGCTTGTGGAGCCAAGTTATCTTAAATGTTGCTATGCTTAATTTATAGCCCCTGAAACACCTGGCCTAGAGTGCCTTTTAATTGATTACAATTAGAAACTGTTCATTGGCTTGCCCTTAGTGTCAGCGATCACAACCATATGAGCTGGTGAAAAGAGAGGCAGTTACTATTTTTTAACCACAATTCCATTTTTTGAGCGTAGTAAAATAGCTAAGCAGTGTATTGAATAACACAGTATTACTCATATGCTTAAGCACCTGGGTCCTTGATCTTGTGCTTTATAAAGTGCTCTGAGCTGTGCTGTAATTGCCTATAAATATGCTGCTGATCATGCTTAAAGGGACACTGTCAAGGTTGGCAGGCCTACAGCTTGACTTAGTAAAGCGACATCTTAAAATAGTTTTATTCTCAGTGTTCCTAAATTACCAACCTATGGTTTTTATCATGCTTCTTTTTATCAGTCCATCTCCTAGAACTAATAAGGTTATGGAAGAATGTTCACTTTTAAAGCAATGGCCCAGTCATGGAAATAGCATGATAGAGGCTAATGTTCCCATCCTGAACATGCAAGTAAAAGAGCTTTGCTGTAAAACCTATTTTTCCTGATGTGAATAGGCATCAACTCTATCACCCTTGAGGTTTGCAGTAAAGTCACTCCTTGTTGAAGCCACATCTTGTGAAAGACATCTTCAAGAAAGAGCACGGGACTGAGGGGATCAGGTCTGGGCAAGTCTGCAGCTGCACAAAGTACCCGTTTTTCATGGCGTCTCTGTCGGTCAGCAGTCTTGTCCTACTTGAGCTAAAGGGGAGCGGATGCAAAAAGAGTGCGTCAGGGAATGGAGTTACAAAGCTGGTGAGGAGCCTGCAACTTTGTCTCATCCTCGGCAGTGCTGCCGGGTTGCAGAGGAGTGATGGGATGGGGAAACACCAGGAACAAGAGCCCTTTCCCGTACCCTTGCTTCTGCAAGCAGCTCTGTGGCTGCAGCCCAGCGGTGGGGGAACCACAGCCAGCTCATGAGGAGTTTTGTGATCTCGGGCAAAGAGCGGTACTGGGCTTACTCTTAAGGACAGAAAACAAATAGCTAAGGAGTGAAAGGTGCCCTGCAATTATTCCTTCTGTGAAGGGCCTGATCTGTTTCTGAGCTGAATAACTTGGCTCCGTCCAAGTTGGGAGCAGTCCTGGCAGTCCCCCAGCACGCTTTATGCTCACGGGAAAACTGTGATGCCACAGAAACCAAACCCACAGGTTCCAGTAAACGAAAAAGTATGTATCATTGGTGCCAGGGACAATGCAGGACAGGGGGCTGCTGAGGGGAAATAGAGGAACAAATTGTAAGCAAAGGCTGAGCTGATAGTGCCAGGGTAGCTGTGCAGAAAGGCATTTTTGGAAGAGGAGGTGTGGCATTAGACCCCTCTGTGGTATCCTGCTAGACTCTGTGCTGAAAGGTTTGAAGACCAAGTCTTGAGTTTCCCAAGACATGGGCCTTCAGCCAGGCTTCACCTTCCTTTCTGACCGGGAGGGGAAAGATTTACAGATACCCTAGATGTGAGGCAGCATATTGGATGTGATGTTCCACCACAGGTGTCTGTTAGTCACTGCCTAAACTCTAGAGACTTGAGGGAAGCACTGGCATTGCATAAAAGAGAACTCAGAAAGAACCGAAAACCAAATAGAAAAGAAAGGTCTCCTCTGAAGCCTGGGAAAAAGGCTGCAGCAGCCATGCTTAAACTAAGGACTGGTGAGCACTCATGGCTGGTGGCGTCACTTGATGCTGCAGTTCCTCAAAGAGGCAGGAATAGTAAAAATCTTCCTCTTAACTTTTATTTTTTTTTTTCCATTACAGAAAAGAGAAGAAAGTAAAGGAAAAATAAATCCTCAGGCTGAAGATCCCACAGAACAGAAAAAAGTCAGTCTAATGTCAGTCTAACATCAGATCCAGCTCAAAGTTTCAGCAGGTGGGAAGGTGCTCCCCACGCTTCCACGATGCACCCAAGAGAACAGGGCAGTGTAGGAGCTGTGTCTCTCACACAGGCAAGCCTTGTAGGATGTGAATATGGATGTGGATAAGCACTTGGAAAAAGTCTCATGTGTCTAACACCAAAGAGTGCGTTTTGAGCTCTATACAGTTACTGAGAAACACTTGAAAGTGCCGCTTGCATATATTTTAAGAGCTTCCAGAAACCAGAATAAAAGCAAAATGAGCCCAAAGTCTGTACTTGAAAAAATCTCAAGCTTTTTAGACAAAGCTTATATCTCCTGGTTTGTTTTGAGCTGAGTTGATATTTTCAAATGTTTGTCCTTGAGAATTGCAAAACTTGCTTTTTTTTTGTAGGTTTATTCCACAGAAATGCTTAAAAAGCAATAAAGTCAATCTCAATAGCATTACTTAAATCCATGATTATATCAATTCCGTGTTGTCGGTATGCAGGGAGAAACTGAGTAGGAAATTCTAAAGGATTCCTGTAACAATAGTTACATTGTTTGTACACATGTATACCATAACAACAGAAAAGCAACAGCAGCCTTGCAGTTACAAAAGAACACTCAGTTCCCTTTAAAAATATACGTGTATATTCTGTGTTTGCCTAGATTAACAGTGTCATTAGGGACTGATACACTATGTACACTCCATCTTCCATCTGATTTATTGAAGTTCTGTGCAGGTTTTTTTTCCTTCAAAACTGTGGTTGTGCCTGATGCTCACCAAGAGGAACCCAAGATCCTTGTGAATGTAAACACCTGGAAGCTGAGATCAGGAGTGTGTAAGAAACATGAATTAATTTTATGACAGTTCTTTATAATGGACCATATAAATTTTCCCACTGTAATTGGTATATACATTCAACAGTTTTATTGTATGTCAGTGCACATTATTCGGCACAGCTGCTAGAGAGGCATTGCTGAACTGGTGTTTCTCTTCCATGACAAACACCTATTAAGCAGTCAGCATAAACTCTTCTTGTTACAGCGTCTGACATCACCCTCAGGGCAAGCGGACACAGAACAGCAATTGCTGAATTGCGTATGAAAATTATAGTTTTATTGTCTATACAAGTGAAGGTTTAACTCCGATTCCTGCTCGAGTCAGCTCTGTTATAAAGGAGCGATTCTTTCAGGGAACAAACAAGCACAGTACACCATTGTAATCAAAGGAACAGGCACTATTTATGTATTGGAAAGCCTTGTTCACAATAGTGCTAACACTCTAATGCCCCAGAAGCCACTATTTTAGCAGCTGTAGAGAAAAAAAGCATGACTAACAAGATGCCACACAGAGTCAGACACAGTTTTTTTAGAGCACAAATGGGATCATCCCATTTGATACAACTCAGTTTAATATGCACGACTGATAAGTAGGGTTCATGTATTTAATGTTTATATAAGCGGTTTCTCCACCGCAGCGTTCAAAGGCTTCCAGTGTCTCTCGAATCAGATCTCCAATATTTTCGTGCTTCTGCTGGCTGTAGTCTATCCCATCGCCTGAATTAACTGGTTAATAAAACAGAAAAACCCAAGAATTATATTAAATTTACTGTTATGCTTTGAAATAGTGACATAGGAAATTGCAATTGCTGGTCAGTCACCGTGCCTCTATTAACAACATTGTTCTGTGACACAAAACACATCTGAATATGAAAACAGGATGGTTTTGGCATCTTTTTAAGGCTTTGCTCAGGCTCCAGCTTTGTATGCCTCCAAAATTTGTTTATGTATGCATTATTTCAGTATCTAAGCAAAAATTCTAATAAAAATAAAGAAAACGCATTCTTTTATAGGATAAAGATGAACTCTCTCTTAACACAGTTAATCCCTTAAGACCATTACTTTATCTCTAGCATCGCTCATTTAGGACAAAATTCTATTGCCAGATATATAAATGCTTATCTACAAAACGTGACTTAAGCTAGACTTCTTATGGTTTGAAATCTTGAATAAGTATTGTTTTGGGATTGTTCCATGTTAGACATCATATTCACACACCTATGTTGCTTCTGATAGAGGGGATGTCATGTGGCCTGAAAGAGACATTTGGAGAATAACATGGCACTCATCCAATTTCTGCTCCCTGGAAAATGTGTAAAATTAAGTCGATGTCAAAAGGACAAACTAGTGCAGAATCACCAACATTTACTGCTCTAACATGGAGTAGCAAGGGTGACACACATTCATATACACACAGCATAATTCTTTAAAAAAACACATGTGAACAACTGTAACAACAAAAAATAAAAGAGTGAGAAGTAACTTCACCTGCAATGATGCTGAGAGAATTAAACGAGGAACATACGTTCAGTTTGGTTTTAAAGCAATATTCTGCAAACTGTCTTAATATGGGTATATTCCAAGCCATATATAAAAAAATAGTTTGGTAGGAGCATGACGTGCTCAGATCAGGTGTGGTGTAGAGGCCAGGTGGAGCAGCTGCCACACGACTGTGGGGTTGTCCACACACAATCAGTGGTCTCACTCCAGGCATTGGTGACAATGTGCCCATGTCATATGTTTAACGTCTCAAATAACGCTGCTTGTTTACCCACACTCTCAGCCAGACAGCAAAGGACACATTTCTTAAGACAGCACAGCCAACTTCTTAGGTAATGCCTGCCTCTCACATTAGAAACATGGTGCACACAAGGGCGAAGGTAAATTTTGCTCCCGCTGCTGCCTCCACGTCCCCGGGCGGACAGGGTGTAGATGTACAACTATACCTGTCCTCACATCCTCTCCTGGATCTAAGTCCGAGGATCTGGACTTAAAGTTTGTGACTTTACCAGCGAAAACTGAAGAACCATGCTCATGAAGAAAGAGCTGAGGACCATGGATAAAAATAATCTTTTTCCTGAATTTCCTGTAAAACATCTGATTGTTCTCCAAGTTAATTATGTGTATATCAGTTTTTCAAACACTTTACACACATTTGTGTCACTTTGCTTTTTGTAAAATGTTTACAGAAATACAGATGTGACATACAAGTACTGGGCTTCTGAGTGGGAAGGAAGTTTTTTTTTTTGTGATGATTACTCTTAAGCACACAAATACTTTCCTTTATAGTAACTATTTATTTCACTAACATGAGAAGCCAGGGTTGTGATATCAAAATTTACTACAATGAATGTATTGTAGTGTTAGAAATAATGATTATGAGAGTGGACAGAAAACACCAAGAGTTATTAAATAAAAGGATTAGCTTATACAAAATACTAATGCAGAAAGAAAAGCACATTACAACTGAGTGCAATTTAGGCTAAACATGGTTTGCTCTTGCAGAAAACAACTGAGATCAACTGTGCCTCATCATCTGTGTTGCATGTGCACTGTCAGCACTCCCAAGAGCACCTGAAGGTATTTCTGATTTCACCAGTTTGAGTGAAGGAAACCCTGAACCTTGACCTAAGTCTTGGCAAATATGTAAAGGAATTACTGACTTTCCAACCATTTGTCTATTATCTGTAATTTTAAGCCCACACACATGCTCTGCTAATGAGCTTACACAGCTTTCATCGTTCTTTCAAAGAAGCAGTAAAAAAATAAGCTCTCTGGAAGTAATGGTGATACATTGCTAAACAAGTTTGGAGGAGACCAACATGACACCATGATAATGCTGGTAGTAGATGTATTTTCCAGAATCCCATGTTACAGTCTTTATTATACAGCATAGTCTGTACAATAAATGATGCCTTAGATGCTTGATTAAAAGGTGCCTAAGAGAATGAGACAATGATAAAGGAAATAGTCTGCAAGGGAAGACTGAATGTGTGATGTGCAGACCGTCATTACAATTTTTTTTTTTCCTACAGACCATCTGTGCTATACGAAGGTTTGTACCCTCAAGACAGCCATAATTCACATTAATGTCATGACACAAGCTCCAGCCAACAATACCAGAAAGGTTATGTCAGCATTAAGGTCACCTGGTAAATACTGAAATAGCTACCCTGTGCAGTTATAGGAATTAACAAATCTTTCAGAAAAAAAAAAGATAATCATTAACCCAACAGGCCAACATCCACTAAACAGATGAGTCAGAATGATCTGCCCAATGCACCTGAGGGTAAGTATCTAGTCATAATGATGATGATGATTAGTTGGAAAAAAATAGCTACTGAAGTATAGCGGTCTCAGCATGCCCTTCTTTGGTTTGACTCTGTTTCCAAGTTAGTTTGCATGAGAAGCCAACTTTGTCAGCCACAAAAATGTTGCATATGTAAAGTGTGAACATGGATCTGACTCAAGCTCTTTATGAAGTTGTCCTTTGTGAGGGAGAATAAATCAACACGAAAATGCTAGGAGCACATTTGTCATATCTTTGTCTTGAAGTGGAATGTCTGGCAAATTTAGCACTCACTAAGAACTCTTTCCAGAGTAAACGATCTTTCTGTGTTTAGAAGAAACACATTGAAGAAATACTAATAGATCTCGAGGATTACAAATAGGAAAAGATCTCGTTTACCTTTTTGCATCAAAAAGTTAGTTCCCAGTCTCTTAAATCATGCATCAAGGGTTTTATGGTCCATAAAAGTGAAGTGGAAGGCTTTGCACCTGTCAAGACCTGTGCTAGCTGATGAAATCACCCAGCACAGCAAGCCAGGAATGGCACTCCCTGTCCCGCCGTCAGCGCTGCCGATGCCAGCTGCTGCAGCCGAGGAAACCCTGCTTAGACCCTCAGGGACTGAACTCAGCATTTGGCAAGGAATGGAGGGGGATTTGAATTTTGCTTTAAAATGTGGTTTGTATTTGAGTCTAGACATGCTTCTGTTCGTGATTCAGGATATTAAAGAAATTCTGGTGTTATTTGTATTCCATCTCATTTCATTTTAAAATTTCACTGGGGTAACGATACAAATATAAAATTGTATTACACTAAAGAAGGACAAGCAAATTTCTCTCAGTGCATTACGAGCTTGATCAGGCAGTTTTGAAGACCTGAAGTGGACGAGAACGGTAAACCAACCCTTAAAGCTCAGTCAGATCTACTCTTATCTCTGAACAATTGTTAGCATCTGAAAGTGCCCAAGACATTCTTTCAGTTTATTAGATTTCACTTCGACGCAGGCCAGGCCTCAAATAGAGGGATTTTTAATCCCCGAATATGTCAAAGTACCTCTCTGTAATTATCTAAGGTTCCTCTTCATGGAAAGCACAAATTAAACCAAGAATTTTCATACACCTGTTGTTGTAGGGGTAGCATAGATCTTTAGATATTATAGTTTCCCCAAATGTTAAATATCTGAGGAATGCTTAGAGTTGGAGGAATAATACTTAAAAGAGATTTCTGAAGAGACTGAATGAAGCCTCATGTTCCCAGCTTAAACAATATTTTCAATTTAATTGTAACTCAAAGGCCATTCCTTCATTTTTTACTGAGGAACGTTTGACAGCATATAAACACACACATATTTCAACTTGTTGTCTTGGAACAAGTGGGTCCTAGCAGAAATCTTTTAACTACTACTAGTTAAGAAGAGAGAGCTCTTGTGTAACGGGACTTTTTTTGTACACAAATCAATAAAGGTACTTGGAAAGATAGGCATCATTCCTCCGTTTTTGAATCTTGAGAAACAGAGATACTGAAAGGTAAAGTGACTTGCTCCAGGTCATGGAAGGGATCAGTCACAAATCATGCTTTCTGATTTTATATTGTAGATGATAAAAGTACTATTTATGGTGAAATATAACTATGGAAAAAATAATTTTAAAGCTGCTCAGTTCACCCTAGTCAAACCAACAGGTAGTTTCAGCAATTAAAATGATTGCAATAATCCAGCACACTAACCACTTAACTGAATAAGATTTCTACTTCAAAAAACCAACAGTGATGGGATGGTAAAGTGCAGATATATTTCTCAGTACGGAATTGTATTTCTGTAGAAAAGCCTATCACAGATCGATATACAGTTAAGAAGTACAAACTAGCATTAAAATATTTTGTGGAAAATGTCAGGACTTTGTCCCTCCTAGGAGCCAGCATCAGTACCAAGAAATAAATGGAGGCCGATTTCAGCTGTAGATTGACACGCATGTGTGTCAGAGTTCACATCGCGTAAGTTCACTACTCAGGTCTAGTTCAGAGCTTAATTAATTTTTTGAAATTATCTTGTTAGGATTAGTTTAATTGTCATAAAAGATGTCGGCTTCGTGACTAGAGTGGAGAATGAAAGCCCCTGATGAGTCAGTGCGGTGGGAGAGAGGAGGGCTCCTTTGCACAGCTCCTCTCACTGTGACTCAGAACTGTGCTTTGGAATTGTCAGCTCCAGGAAGGATGAGGTAGTTTGGTCTCCCTGTTCATTTAATTGAAAGTTTGTGAAAGTCACAGGCTAAGACTCTAAAACTCTCCTGTCTGCTAAGAAACAGAGGGACACTGCCAGTTCTTTTCACTCAGGTGAAGGAAGAGCAACCAGGAGGTTATGACTTCTGGTCATTACTAACTCAGACGGAAAACCATGTGTTCCATTCCTGAAGGCTCAGAGCAATGTGAAGACCAGTTGTAC